TTTTCCGATTACATAAAAAATTGCGATTTTAAAGAGGGTGCGTATTAATCTTGCCTCATATATTTTTTTCTACTTTTCAAACAGCTTGATTTTTTAAGAGGATTTTTTTGTTATCCTCCAAAATAAAAAAAATCGATAATTTCAATTTTTCCGCTTACAAAAAATTTCTGATTTAAAAGGGGTGCGTATTAGGTTCACAATGTCTCACTCCTCTTATTTTTTATTATAATTTTCTAAAGGATTCCCTTTTTGAAAAGCATAATTTCTATTATTCTCCATAAATCAGAAATTCGATAAAGTTTTGCGATATCTCACTCAACAGCATTTTTATTCTAATTAAAATTTTTCCTACTCCTCGAAAAATTTTGATTTTTGATTTTTTTTACTCTTCCTATTCTCATTTATCTTTCTCTTTATTTTATTATTTTCTTCGTATCAGCTTCACTCACTCTCCTTATTTTTCATATAATTTCGATTTTTCCTAATCCTTGAAAATATTTGATTTTAAAATTCGATTTTTACTATTATCTCTATATATTTTTTTTTTGATTTTTTTTTAGATTTTTCCTAATCCCTGAAATTTTTTATTTTCAAATTCAAATTTTTTAACCCAACTCTTATTTATTTTTTCTTCATTTCTTTATTTTTTTTTGTGTAAAAAAATTCCCATTATTTTCGATTTAGTTTCACTCCCCTTATTTTTTTATATAATTTAGATTTTTCCTAATCCCTGATCTAATTTTTTTTTTTTCATTTTTTATTTTTTTCGTGTAAAAAAATCCCTTTTCTTCCCTTTTTCTATTTATTTTTATTATCATTTTTCTTTATTTCCATTTTTTATTTGAAAAAAAAAGAATTATTCATTTTCCCAAACTTACCCAACACAAGGCTCGTATCACAACTTGGGGCTTCATGACAAAGGACAGTGGATCGAAGGCTCCACCAGCCTTGCCACCACCATAGGCTCCGCCAGCATTCATATTTAATATTTGATTTAGCATATCCATTTTGGCTTACAGCAACAACAAATTTTCTTTAAAATATTTTTTTTCTTTTTTCAAAAAGGGAATCCTTTCTCCTTTTATTTTAAAACACAAAAAATCGATTTTATTTTTTTTTTCTATTGAATTTTCACAATTATTTTGCACTGATTTTTCGCGTTTTTTTTTCTCTTCTTCTTTGTTTCGTTCTCTACACTTTATGTAATTTTTTTGTGGGGTATTTATTTTTCTTGTTTTTTGCTCAAGCTCTAGTGTAAATAATTGCCTTCAAATCCTGTAGTTTTGCTGGCAAAAAACACACAGTCTCACACACACATACACAGAGAACAGCAGCAGCAAAAGAGGAAACAACAACAATAAAAAATGTCTTTGGTTGGGTTTTTTCTTCTGTTCTTCTTCTTCTGCCTTTAAAAATCCAAGAAGAACTGTTACGTTATTTTTTGTCTCGATGTATTAGTTGTTTTTTCTATTATCTCACAATAGTAGAGGGGGAGCAGCAGAGAGCAGCAGCAGCTTCCTTCCTTTGTTTGTTGTCTCAACTCTCTTCAAAAGTATACTAACGGCTATTGTGTGTGCTTTCTAATGGCAATACTAGTCTTAGTTGTAGTAGTAGGATGTATTGTTCGTGTTCTTCTTCTTATTTTTCTTATAAGACAACTTTCGTTCAGAGCGCGCAAGCAGTACTCTGTTATGATTTTGGCATGTACAACTATGCAAGGCAACACACGCACACACACACAATTCTCTGGGTTACAATAACGGGTAGTGTGTTTTCCTTCTGATAAAGCGAAGGAGAGAGAGAGAGAGAGTGTGTGTGATAGAGAGATGCAAAGTCACACTGAGTTAGAGAGGGTGGCTGGCTTGGTTGGTTGGCTGCCTTGCTTTGTTTGACTCTGGCTCACACAAAACACACACCCACACACACAGATACTAACAACAAAAGCAAAAATCTCACAAGTAACTGTGCCTTGGTGGCGTATACGTAGTGATTTTATTGATAAATATTTATTTTTAATGCATTAGTTTTAATAAAAATTTGTTTTTTATTTATTTTTTTTATTATTTTACTCTCTCTTGATTATATAATTTTTAATTATATTTTCTATATATTTTTTTCTTTATATTCTTTGCAAAAGAGCGAGTTATTATTTTATATCGTTTTCTGAAGCGCGCCTTTGTTTTTCGTAACAAATACCAAATCGAACTGAATTTCTGATTTTCATTTATTCTTGTTTGAGCAAACAACAAATTTTTTCTTGCACTGACAAGTAAGGATTTGGTAATAAAAAATGATGGGAGAGCTTTTTTGAGAAAGCAAATCTTGATATACTATAAATAAAAAAGCTTACGAAGAAACTACCCCTAAAATTTATATTTAGAAGGGAAGTGAAAAACAATCGGCTAACGTAAAAGACGTTAAATTTAAAATTTAAATAAATAGGCGTTGATTTTTTCGGAATATATTTAGAGATTAGGATTTTTTAAAATTTTTTTTTCAGGGTCCTATATAATAAGGCGTGGATTTTTATACCCTTCACCACACTGTGGTACAGGTTATTATGTCGTTGTGTATATGTTTGTAACAGGCAAAAGGAAACGAGATAGACCCATAGTTCCTTTTGAGAATATGCATAGAATCAGTTTCTCAGTCGATTTATGCATGTCCGTCCGTCTGTTGGTGTTAAATTGTAAACAAATTACAGGTCTCATTTATAATCCGAATTGGATGAAATTTCGCACAGCTCATTTATTTGCCCCAAGGACAAACCCTATTGAAATTGGGAAAAATCATTTCAGATTTATATATAGCTCCTATATATAATTTCGTCCGATTTAAGGTAAATGCTGCACTAAGGTCACTATATATCTTTCGATTTGCACAAAATTTGACACAGCGTACTGAATTAAGCCTAGAATGATGTGTGCTAAGTTTTATGAAAATCGGTTCAGATTTAGATATAGCTCCTATATATTTTTTCGTCCGTTTTTAGGTAAACAGTGCACCAAAGTCCCTATATATTCATCGATTTGCACGAAATTTGGCACAGCGTACTAAATTAAGTCTTGAACGATGAGTCTTGAAATTTCGTAAAAATCGGTTCAGATTTGGATATAGCTCCCATATATATTTTAGTCCGATTTAAGACAAATGGTGCACCAAAGTCGCTATGTATCTTTCGATATGCCAGTAATTTAGCATAGCGTACTGAATTAAGAGTAGAATGATGTGTGATACGTTTCGTGAAAATCGGTACAGATTTAGATATAGCTCCCATACATTTTTCGGTCGACTTAATATAAATGGTTCACCAAAATTGCTATATATCTTTCGATTTGCACGAAATTTGGCACAGAGTACTGAATTGGGTGCAGAATGATGTGTGCTAAGCTTCGTGAAAATCGGTCCACGTTTAGATATGGCTTCCATATATAGTTTCGTCCGATTTTATGTGAATGTTGCACCAAAGTCCCTATATATCTTTTGATATGCACGAAATTTGCCATAGCGTACTGAATTGAGTCTGGAATGATGTGTGCTGAGTTTCGTGAAAATCGGTTCAGATTTAGATATAGCTCCCATATATATTTTCGTCCGATTTAAGGTAAATGGTGCACCAAAGTACCTAAAAAGCTTTCGATTTATACGAAATTTGGTAAAGCGTACTGAGTTAAGTCTAGAAAGATATGTGTTAAATTTCATGAAATTCGGTTCAAATTTAGATATAGCTCCCATATATAGTTTCGTCCGATTTTATGTAAATGGTGCACCAAAGTCTCTAAATATCTTTCGATTTGCACGAAATTTGGCACAGGGTACTGAATTAAGCATAGAATGACGTGTGCTAAGTTTCGTGAAAATCGGTTCAGATTTAGATACAGCTCCCATATATATTTTCGTCTAATTTAAGGTAAATGGTTCACCAAAGACCCTATATATTCTTCGATTTGCACGAAATTTGGCATAACGTACTGAATTGAGTCTAGAATAATATGTGCTAAGTTTCGTGAAGATCCGTTCAGATTTATATATAGCTCCCATATATATTTTCGTCCGGTTTTACATAAATGGTGCACCAAACTCCTTTAGCTATAAATCCGATTAACATTTTTCCCATTTTGCACAACGTATCAAATTGAGACTTGTATGAAATTAAATTTAGTTGAAATTTTGCAGATACAGCCATAGCTTCCATATGTATTACGAATGGGTTTCATTGACATTCAATTGTAGGAATACATATGTATCAATTACCTATAAGTCGTTTTCCATGTCCCATGGTACGCAGACCGCCTTTAAATCGGCCTGAATGAAATTAAATTTTAAAAAGATTAAATTTTCAGGGACCTATAAAAGGCATGGATTTTTCAAATATAATTTTTTCAGGGACCTATATAAGGCGTTGATTTTATAAATATAATTTTTTCAGGGACCTATATAAGACGTGGATTTTTCAAATATAATTTTTTCAGGGACGTATTTTTTTAGGAGACGGTTTAAAAAAATGTTTTTTCTTATTATTGAAATAGAAAATCTCCTTCTTCTTCCATTAAAAATGTTTGCAAATCATCAAAAATTATGCCATCATTTCTTTGCTAGCTGTGATAATAACTGATAACTTATCTGCTTAAATATACAGCTAAATACATACATATACATATATCGTATGATAAGACAAGTGAAACAAATATTTCTTTAAATAAAATATCCCATTATAGAGCAAAGGTTATGACATAATTTACAATTAGTTTTTTTTTTAAATAAAAATTTTGCAAATAATACAACTGTATTTTTTATATATATTTATATGGCTTCGTGTTTTTTATTCTTCTTGTGTTTTTAAATCATAATAAGTTTACAAAAATATATATATTTAGGAAAACTTAGTTTTCAATATCAAAAAAATAGATATAAATGCATTACTGGTATAAGTTTCAAACTTCTTTTCAATTTATCTGTTCTTGCTCAGCAATATTTAATATTGTAAGGCATGTGGTTCATGTGATGGTGACGATGTTAATTTAGTTGTTGTTGAATTTGGCTGGACGCTTTTCAACGAAAGCGGTCATACCTTCCTTGCGATCCTCCTGTAAGGTTGAGAAAAAGAGAAATAAAGTGATTTAGAAATGTAATTGGAAATAAATTAAAACAATCGAGAAGTAGAAATAATAAAAAATAAGGAATTTTTTAAAGATTAAACCCTAAAATCGTTATAAGGAATGACTTTTTAAAAATAAATACAAATTTCTGGCTATTTTTCAATGTAAGGGTTTTAATTAGATGACCCAATGGTCTTATAGGTATTCTATAGTCAAAATCCAAAAGGTCATCTAGAAGAAAACTCATATGATAATCTATTACATCAAGTGCTTCTCTATTAGAAGATCGAATGGTCGGCTATTAGAAGACGCAACGATCTGGTATTATTAGAAACAGTTTGACTTCTATTAGAGGACTCAGCGGTCTTCAATTAGAAGAGCCAAAATGGCTTTCTCTAAGAAAAATCAGAAGACATTCGATTAGAAGACCCAAATGGTCGTAGATTAGAAGACATAAATGATCTTTCAGTAAGGAATATCATTATACGTTATCTACAAGGATCCAAGACCCAGTGTTCTACTATGAGACCCAAATAACTTATATCTCAAGTCCCAAAGGCAAGGTCTACTATACGAAAACCAGCAATACCTAATTGGTCTTCTATTATAAGGCCCAATGAACTTTTATCCCAAGTCCCAAATATTTTATAACAACATTTTAACAACATTCGATATTACAGAATACAGGGGCAGAGCAATACCTTCTATAAAAATTCGAAAAGGCTTCAATGGTTCTATAAGAATTTCAACGTGATTTTTTATAACGATTTAATAGAACTTCTATAAAAAACATACAAGACCTTCTATAAAAAATACCTACAGGACTTTATAAAAGAAGTCTTAAATAGCTGTCTATAAGACGATATACAAGACCTTCTTAAAGTAATAGAGGGCAACGAAGACTAGAATACCTTCTTTAAAATTTCAAAAAGGCTTTAAGGGTTCTATAAGAATTTCTACGTGATTTTTTATATACAGATTTAATAGAACTTCTATAAAAAAACACACAAGACCTTCTATAAAAAATACCTACAGGACTTTATAAAAGAAGACTTAAATAGCCTTCTATAAGAAGATATACAAGACCTTCTTAAAGTAGATCTGAAAAGTATTTTATAAGATGGCCAAAAAATGTCTTCTATATACGACCAAGAAGGTTTAGACCTTCTTGGTCGTGGTAGGAAGACCAGCAAGACCTTCTATAAAAAATCGAAATGGCTACAAGGGTTCTAAAAGAATTTCTACGGGGTCTGTTATAAAAAGGCCTACTAGACCTTTTATAAAAAGACATAGAAAACTCTCTAGAAAAATACCTACAAGGCTTTCTAATAGAAGTCTTAAATAGCCTTCTATACGAATATCTACAAGTCCTTTTAAGAGTATATTTGAAAGGTATATAATATGAAGGCCTAAAATTGTCTTCCATATGTGACTTACAATTTCTTCTATATAGGACCTACAAGATCTCCTATAAGAAGGCTTATAAGGCCTTTTTTAACACCTATACATTTTTTTAGAATATCTGAAAGGTGAATCTGAAAGTGATTTATATATGTTATCTACAAGAGATTCTCTATGAAGTGTTACAATATTTCTACACAAGGCTTTCTAAAATTACTCCTAACAGGCGACTAAGCTCCTACCTATAAGAAGGCCTAGAATATCTTCTATAGGAACCTAAAGGTCTTCTATAAGAATACCTCTGAAACATTCCATATGAATACCTATAATCTCTTCTATAAAGAGTTTTCTATACAAGGCTTTCTAAAATGTCACCTAACTGAAGCATGAACGCCTACCTATAGTAGGCCAAAAGGTCTTTTATAAGAGGAGATGCGAGGCCTTCTATGAGAAGACCTACACATTTTTAAGAAGATCTAAAAAGTATTCTATAAGTGTACTTAAAGGGTTCTATGAGAAGAGTTCCTACGTTTTCTAAAATATCAAATAACATCAACCTAAGTTCCTCCCTATTAGAAGACTTGGACTGTATTCTATGTGAAGACCTAAAAGGCCTCTTATAAAATAACCGATAAGAGTACCATTGAAACCTTAAACGGCATTCAAATTATAACTTTTTACTGGGTTAACCTGTTGTATGAGGATTTGACATTTATACAATGGAATTGACAATTTAAATCCACTGGGTTAACGAAATCCGGTAGAATGTAAACGTACTATTATATATGAATACATATTAGCTCTTCTATAAAGCGTTTTCTATACAAGGCATTCTACCTACATTAGGCCTTAAAGGTATTTTATAAGAGGAGATGCGAGGCTTTCTATGAGAAGACCTACACATTTTTGAAGAAGATCTAAAAAGTATTCTATAAGTATACCTAAAAGGATTATATATGAAGAGTTACTATGCTTTCTAAAATGTCGACTAACATCAGCCTAAGCTCTTGCCTATTAGAAGACCTAGAATGTATTCTATGTAAATACCTAAAAGGCCTATTATAAAATAATATATATGAATACCATTGAAGACTTTCGGAAAATGTCTCCAAACAGAAGCCTAAGCTTCTACCTTCCATATGAATACCAATTAGCTCTTCTATAATTTTTTTCTAGACAAGGCTTTCTAAATGTCTCCTAACTGAAGCCTAAGTGCCTAGCTATAGGTCTTCTTAAAGATCTAAAAGGTCTTTTATAAAAACACCTTTCATATAAACCTATTAGCTTTCCTATAAAAATATATACAAAGTCTTTTTAAGAAGACCTAAAACGACATAAATTTCCCTATCTTATCATTCTCTATAATCTCCACATATATCCGCCCCCTTTACTTACAGTCGAGAAAGTGGCGTGGAAAGTTCTTCTCTCGTATTTCAAACCCTCTTGCAAAGTGGTCTCGTAGGCAGTGTTGACAGCCTCCTTGCACAATTGGACAATCAATTGCGAATGGGTACCGATCTTTTCACCCAATTTAACAGCTTCGGCAACCAATTGATCGGCGGGCACAACCTTGCTAACCAAACCGGTCTTTTCAGCTTCAGCAGCGCTGATCATGTTACCGGTCAAGCACATTTCCATAGCCTTAGATTTGCCAACGACACGGGTCAAACGTTGGGTGCCACCAGCACCGGGGATGGTGCCCAAAGCAATTTCAGGTTGACCGAATTTGGCCTTATCACCGGCATAGATGATGTCGCACATCATGGCCAATTCACAGCCACCACCCAAGGCGTAACCGTTGACGGCAGCAATAATGGGCTTTTGGCACTTGGCAACACGGGTCCAATCATTCAAGAAGTTACCCATAATGCAGTGGGAGTAGGTGTTGGGTTGCATTTCCTTGATGTCGGCACCAGCGGCGAAAGCTTTTTCGCTGCCGGTAATAACAATGGCGGCAATGTTCTTATCCTGTTCGTATTGATCCAAGCTGGCGCTCAATTCCTTCATCAGGCCATTGCACAAGGCATTCAAGGCCTTGGGGCGGTTCAAGGTGATGACGGCAACATTTTTCTTTTCGCCAGCCAATTCGGTTTTGATGAATTCGAAGTTGGTGGCTGTGTGGGGGGAGAGAGGGAAAGAAAAGAAAACAAGTTAATAAAAATTCTATAAAAAAAAATAAATTCAATATTGAATTCTATTATCTATGCAACGTGTGTTTTGAATATTAATAAAGTCAATATTGGCATAGATAAAAGAAAAGTGGGACTGCTGTCTGGCTGATTATTCTAGAGCATGATGATGGTGCGGGTTATTTGCTGATAAGAAGTCTACAATGCAATTTCTTTTCAATAAATTTTTAAGTCTGGTTTGATTCGCCCATTTTATGTCTGCATAGACAAAGTCCATTGTCTTCATTCAAAATCAAACACAAGAAAAGTTAAAAATAAATCCTCAAGTCTCGCTGTTGCGTAACCAGCTATCTGTATTTTTCCATAACTTGTCAAACATTGTTCGAATCGAAATAAAAACAACAAATTGCACCGGCTTTTCAACAAAATCCAAAACATTTGCATTGCCATTACACTTTCTCCCGGCCCATACCTTTGGCGAAGGTCAAACATTCAATAATTAATTAATTGCTATTAACAACTATTTTCAACACGAGCGGTGTGTGAGGGGGGGATTGTATGTGCAAAAAAAAAAATAATTCTCAACTTACCGGCAGCACTGTAGAAACGTGGAACAAATTGTTGTTGCTTAGCGGCAACCTGCAACATTTGTTGGGCACGACCGGCCACAGTTTTCATGATTTGTGCCATTTTGTATTCCTTTGGTGATTTGCTGAGCGAGCTCTGGAATAGTCCAAGAATATTTATTACTTAATATGCGGGAAGAGAGGGGGGAAAAATTTTTCATTTTCGCACAACTAGTTTGGTACTTACGGAACGAACACTGGAGCAAGAATGATCAGCTCATATTTTGCGATGGAGCAAAATAGGGATATTTCAATCGATTTATGGCGGTTATCGATTTGCTGAAGTGAAAAAAAACCAAAACAAAGTTGAAAATTGTATCGATCGTGTAATATTAATAGACGCCTAAAAGTATGCTTTAATTTATTTTGTTTATTGTTTGGTTTTCTTTGTGGCCTTTGCAAAACAAGTCGTCGTTGGGTTAATTAGTGCAGGGGATCTATAGATCGAAAGTGGTTCACTTATAAAACGTAATGCCTCGTAACGTAAAAAGACGAATATCAGAGCTGATGAAAAACAATGAAGGCCAAAAGTATTGAATATTTTTCATCGGATTGGATTGAATCTTTGAATATGATTATATATAGGAAAAAATTACAGTAGCAAATTTTAAAACAAATATTTAATCAATTAAAAATATGAGTGAAATCGATCAGAACATAAGGCTGAAATATGAAGTGGCCACAACATCAATCAGTAAGTATAGGTCCTAAGCCGGACGGGGACCAGCTTAATCAATTCTGAGGTACTCTTGTTACTCTTTAGAACACAGAAAATGAAAATAAATCGTGAACGCCAAAAAAAATCTGTAAGGAAAGCAGTAAAGTCGGACGGTCCCAACTATAGGATAACCTTCAATAATTTGGGTATATTTAACAAATGCACTCTAAGTCCGCTTTTCCACAGGCAGATTTTTATTTGGCAAATTTTTTGTTTTCTCCTTTGGAATTTTTGCTTGCTTTTCCATTAGCAAATTTTTCTTTGCCAAATTTGCGAATCAAAATGCAAAAGAAAGAAAAAAAAACGTCAAAAGTGTTTGCATTTTAAAGATTTTTTTAATATTTTATTTATTTTTTATATATATTATTATATAAATTGCAAAAATTAAATTTCACTTGCACAAATTAAAGCAACAGGTTTGTTAACAAAAGCCGGCTGTGTGTCAGTAAAGCGAATAGGTTCAAAAGGAAATGTCAACAAAATTGTTTTCAACGAAAAGATCAAAGCAGAATTTGCGTGTACGGCAAATTCTGAACAGGCAAATTTTTGTTTTTCTTCCTCGCAACCCTCTCGCCTACAAACTCAGTATTTGCCAAATAAAAATTTGCCTGTGGAAAAGCTCTGTTAGTCTGCTTTTCCACAGGCAAATTTTTATTTTTAAAGGACCATGGACATGAAATTGAAAGAACTTAAATGTGCGATATTTATCTGCATGTGAACTGACTTAAAGCAAAGAACACACATGCCATTCTGCAACCTATGCTAAATTTCATTTCATTCGGACAGATTTAGAGTCGAAAATGTATAATATAAGAACTACATCTTAATCTGAAACCTAACATAAGTCATAACAGACTCAATAAGATGTGGTATTCCATATTTGGTCTTAATCGGACGAACAAATCAAATCAAAAGAAATAAAGGGTCTTCGGTGCACCATTTGCATAAAATCGGACGAAAATATATATATGGGAGCTATATTTAAATCTGAACCGATTTCATCACAAATTCACATACGCCAATTTGTACTTAATACGATACGAAGTGCTAAATTTTGCCGCCATCCGACAAACTTTGACAGTTTGCTGCACCATTTATATAAAATGGGACGAAAATATATATGGGAACAATATCTTCTTCTGAACCTGTTTGAATAGGATTCGCCCTGGAAAACAAGGGTGAACTGTGCCAAATAGAGTTGTTCAGTTCACGAACGAACTAGTTCAAATGAACGATTCACTTAAAAGACCGATTGAACTAGGTCTTTCAAAGTCGTTCTTTTTAGTTCGTTAAAAGAACGAACTGGAATAATCGTTCCTTTTAGTTTAAATGTGAGCGTTTCACTGACTTAGTTCGATTTTTCTCTAAATGGAAGCGGCACCGATCGAGTTTCATTTTGCATGTGATATTAACAGCGCTTTCATTTAGTAAACATGTAAAATATGTTGCCTATCATTTATGCTCGCAAGTAATTTTTCTATTATTCTGAAACTTTTCTTTAAAAATCCACACCTTATAGATGGCCATAACCTGTTCTAAAATTTTTCTATATAATATCCTCGCCATAAAAAAAACATTAAATTGTTTTTATTCACATATCACAATCTTCCAAGAACGATTCGGAGAGACATGAATTATTAAAAGAACGACCAAAGTAAAACGACATCTGAGTAAAAGAGCTTAATTGTGAACGATTGAACTAGAAGACCGAACTAGTTCAATCAAAAGAGCGATCAGCTATCTGAACTAGATAGAACAACTCTAGTGCCAAATTTCATCCAAATCGGATCATAAATGGGACCTGTACTTTGGACTGACGGAAAAGCATAAATCGATTCAAAAAGAGATTCATATTCTATATTCTCAAAGGAACCATGGGTCTATCTCGTTTCCTTTTACAAACATATGCACAAAGACATAATACCCTGTACCAAGGTGGTGAAGGATATAATTATTAATGCCTTTGAGTCTGCATTTTGCGTACAAATGTCAATCGGTGTTGTAGACAGTTATAACCTCTGTGTATTTATCCCGCCTTTAGGATTCTATTTTGATTTGCGAAGATCTGCGGAATCGCTACCTAGTGTGGAGTATTTTTATAACCTTCACTTTATAGTGGCGTGTATGTCATTCAGTTTGCAACACTTCGAAATATTCTATATGAACTCCATAAATATTCTTGATCAGAATAAAATTATATTTCAATTTAGTCATGCCGTCTGTTAAAAACCCCATAGGGGATTCGGTATATTGAGAATTTCGGCCAAGTATGTCAATCTAATTGAGTAGAAAATTTCGCTACTAAAAATGATCAATATTGGCAAGCCCAGGTAGCTCCCATGGAACAATGAATAGGTAGTCCATTTAGAGTAGCTGTCGAAGTGGGTAATATCTACATGAATTCGATGTGCTGTGTTGCCAATCATGTGAAATATTATATGGAAAAATTTGACAGATGATCGAGACAAAAACAAAGGTTTTTGTTTTGATACATCACCGTCTTATTGCATCATGGTAGCCCCCATATATTGTCACGATTATTTTGTATTTTTGGAGTTCTGGGCACCAAAAAGTGTCAATATAGGTCCCATTCTTAAGCTAGCCCCCATATAACTTCCATCAAACCCTATCGTCTTACTCCCCTTTTGCTCAATGCCTCCTATACCGCAGTGCGTCTGATGGTATCGAAAGATTTCTTGAAATCTATGAACAGTAGGTACAAGGGGGTGCGCCACTCTATAGATGTTTCTATTACGACTCGTAGGGTGTTGGCCTGGTCCACGCAGCTTCTATTTGATCTAAAGCCAGCTTTTTCAGCTCTCAGAATTCTTTTCTTTATTAAGGGCTAATAGTACGTTTACATTTAACCGTTAACCCAGTGGGTTTCTATTGTCAATTCCTTTGCATATATGTCAAATAAAACGGCATATACATTAGAAATTTTTACCGAGTTAACCTACTTTAAGAGGATTTATTTGACATATATGCAAAGGAATTGACAAATGAAACCTTCTGGGTTAACGAAATCCGGTTAAATGTAAACGTAGCCTAAATCCTCATAAAGTAGGTTAACCTGGTAAAAAGTTCTAATGTACAAGGAGTTTAAGCATTATATAAGGTAGGGTAGCTTTTGTCAGAAAGGAGAAAATACACATCTACCTTGTGGACTATAATGTCAGAATAAATTAAAATAAATGTCATTCTGTTCATTTGACATATTCGAAAAATTAATGGAATGCCAGGTTTTTGTTTCAAAATCGAGTTGGAGATATAATTTTGATATTGATTCATTCATAAATCATACATTTCTTTTTCCCAACGTTGTAAAATTCATCTTTAAACAAATGGATTTTAGAATACATTTTTCTGTAAGCATTACATACACAGTCACATATTTTTAATACTGACCGAATACGTAAGAAATTTAATTTATAAGTTGCTATTGTCTACCTTGAATAATTGACCACGGTTTGAACCACATGGTGCCACCAGTGATGCCAGTTAAATTTCATGAAAAATCGTCAATTTTTCAGAAAAAAATCGGCATAATCGGCATTTGTATTTTTAAAAAACGGCAAAAAATCGGCAGCATATAATTTATAAATAAATTCATATTTTTTTGGTTTATAACAAATCAATATTGTTTATTACATTAAAAAAAAGATAACAAATTCAATTCTGTATAAAAAAATAACATAAAAGTTTCATTTTTCTACAAAAAATGTAGATTTTTCTAAAATATAGTAATTATTATGTACACTAGTGAGATCTTTCAGATTTACGTATAACACAGTGTGGTATTAAGGTCATAAAAATAGCTTACAAACTAGTACATATTTTTATTACACATTTTTAGTAAATCATTATCAATTTTGATATTAAAACAATTTGAATTCCGAGCTTCTAATTTTAGTTTTGTTAAGGTTTACCTGACTAAAAATTCGTTCCACATTTGCTGTGGAGTGTGGAAGAACCATAATTCTTTGTACAAATTTAGACAAAACTGGAAAAGCTAAATTGGAGTCCCCACGTTTAATTTCGGAAATTTTTTTCCAAAAACTTTTTAAATTATATTCTGCATTTTTAAAAATTTCTTCAAAATTCGGAAAGTTTAACTCCCGAAACTCGGAGTCTAAAGATTTGCCTTATTCGATGTAAAATGTAAACTAGACAGAGTACAATGCTGACAAAAAATGCAGATATCTAAGCCATTGAAAACGGCTGCGGAGAGTCGCCGATAGTTATAATGATTTAAAGCTGCCAATTTTATATGATTGTATGGTAACGCCGTATTAAATTAAAAAGTTAGACTATTTGTGTCGATTGTTGAAATATCGGCAATTCTGAGGCAAAAATCGGAAAATCGGCATTTTCCATTTTTAGAGTGAAAAATCGTCAAAATGCCGATAAATCGGCAAATATGGCAGCCCTGGGTGCCACACAATTCGAGCGAATATGGACTTTTCTTATACACTTTACCTTTTAATGGTTGTAAATCAGAGTTCTATTTTTCTGAAAAATTGTCGAAGATAATGTTCGAAGATTTTCTAAAGGTCGTTTATTTATGGGCTATTGTTTATCCGCTTTGATATTTGAGGGTTAATAACGCAGAGAGCGACATCCATTGTCTATTACCTCAAAATAATGTGGATTCTAATACACATACGAGGTTTGCGTCTAAGCTACACTGGCTCGTTATTGTACGATTTTCTCTTTTGTTGGACGATAAATCGTAAATATCACACAGACGATTGTACGACAAACAGTCTAGCCTGCATCCAAAGCCATTATAGTCTATAAATAATTGCTATAATAATTCTTTTGAACGTATTATAGCAAAATAATAATAAATTATAGTAGAAAGTAAACAATGAACATGAGTTTCCACACTGAAACATATAGATGGCGCTGTTTGGTTTAGAGTAGTTAATACAACTGGGAATACTGAATATGAAATATATTGTTGAAATTAAAGAGGATTAATTGTATGGCAAGAGAAACAAATTAAAATCCGAACATTAATTAATTCCATTTCTACCTGGGTATTTTTTTGGTTCAGTGTAAACTGTATATGCCATTAACCCATTTGTAAAAAAATTTTAATTTTGACATATCAAAAAATAAACAACGGTTACCATGGTCATATTTTTATTTCATTCAATAATTTAATTTTTGTAGAAGAAAAACAGTAACCAAAAATAAGTTGGGATTAATTATAAAAAATTAGAAAAATTAATATCCTCAAAAATATGGAAAATTGTAATGACGAAAATGGAGCTGGTGGCGATTCAGCCGCGCCAAAGGAGGAACCCTCGCAGGATAGTCTTAAAACTGGATTTATACCATATGTGGGCAACAGCAACAACAATAGACGAAATGTTAAGGAAAAGCTGCCGCACATATTTGATTTGCGTAGTAAATTGAGGAAAGATAAATTGCAAAAGAAGTTAAAGGATATGTAAGGATGAGAACAATTTTTTGGTAAATGTTAAAAAGTAATATATTGGCGTTTTCCCTAGGCCCCAGGGCAAGGCTAAAAACGACATCGAACTACAACTGGAGCAAAGCGATAAATGTCTGCAGGAACTTTTGGATTTTGGCAATGAACTGGTCAACAACATCAAGGCGGCCAATGAGCAGCAGGAGTTGCTGCAGTGTCGCAGTAAGAAGCAGAGAGAGGAGGGTATGTTTTTATGTCTGTCCCAGTAACCTTGGGATCCGAAATTTTTTTCTATAGAAAAAAATCCCCAGTAACCTGGGGACCCGAAATTTTTTTCTATATAGAAAAAAATCCCCAGTAACCTGGGGACCCGAAATTTTTTTCTATAGAAAAAAATCCCCTGTAAGCTGGGGACCCGAAATTTTTTTCTATATAGAAAAAAATCCCCAGTAACCTGGGGACCCGAAATTTTTTTCTATAGCAAAAAAATCCCCAGTAACCTGGGGACCCGAAATTTTTTTTCTATAGAAAAAAATTCCCCAGTAACCTGGGCAACCGAAATTTTTTTCTATAGAAAAAAATTCACCAGTAACCTGGGGACCCGAAATTTTTTTCAATAGAAAAAAATCCCCAGTAACCTGGGGACCCGAAATTTTTTTTCTATAGAAAAAAATCCCCAGCAACCTGGGGACCCGAAATTTGTTTCTATAGAAAAAAATCCCCAGTAACCAGGGGACCCGAATTTTTTTTCTATAGAAAAAAATCCCCAGTAACCTGGGGACCCGAATTTTTTTTCTATAGAAAAAAAATCCCCAGTAAACTGGGGACCCGAATTTTTTTTCTATAGAAAAAAAATCCCCAGTAAACTGGGGACCCGAATTTTTTTTCTATAGAAAAAAATCCCCAGTAAGCTGGGGACCCGAAATTTTTTTCTATAGAAAAAAATCCCCAGTAAACTGGGGACCCGAATTTTTTTCTATAGAAAAAAAAATCCCCAGTAAACTGGGGACGCGAAATTTTTTTCTATAGAAAAAAATCCCCAGCAACCTGGGGACCCGAATTTTTTTTTTTCTTAAAAATATCCTCTTTTCCTTTCAGCCCTCCATCAAACCCTGCGCACTGAGGCCGCCGAAACTTTGAAACTTTTCGATGAAATCAATGCCAAATGGTTGGAAATGAATGAAATGCGTGAACCCATGGCGATATTCGAAGAAATGCAAAAACAACGCGAAAATATAGCACAAATGATGAGCAGCAAGGATGAACTGATAGAAAAATGCCAGGAAGAATTACGAAGGATCAATGCAAAATACGATGCCGATCAACAGAAACAATCGCAGGATGTCTGCTTCCTGGTCGAACGTATCGACGATCAAATTGAATTATTAAAAAAATCCTATAAGGAAAATCTCTATGAGCTGCAGGAGGCCATAGATACGGAAAAGAAAAAGTTGCATCAGGCCTCACAGGATAAATGGTCGCGAATGTATACCGACTTAACCCTAAAAGAGGAAGAGAAAATGGAGCTGGTAAAGGAGAAGCAGGAACTATATTCTCAAGAATTAGAGAAGATCCGCACCAAACAGGAAGAGATAACAAGGGCCACCAGGATACGCCTGGAAAAGGATGCTGAAATGTTGGAATTGGAAATACGAAAGACCCGAGCGAATATTTTGATTAATTCGGAAAAAATCGATTACAATTATCAGGTGCTGCAGAAGCGTAACGAAGAGAACATCATTATTAATAATCAACAAAAACGTAGAGTTGCCAAGTTCAATGAATCGATTGTGTTGTTGAAGAGGAAATTGGAATCGATGAAGCAAAGCAATCGCCAGGTTATGGAGCGATATACGGAAGAGATACAGAAGCTACATGCCAGCATAAATGAACTGCAGCTGAAATCGGAACATTTTCGTAAGAGTAATAGAAATAAGGTGAGAGTGGAAGGGGAAGGGGAGGGGAAGAGAATATTTTTAAAATTTTCGGATGTTTTTCTAGTTCACCAAAGTCTGGGCAATGCATTTCAAGGAAATCAAGGATCTACTCAACAGTGTTTGGGATGTGGATAGGATTTTATATGAACAGCAGCTTGGAAGGAAGTGGGAGAGACCAGCCATCGACATGGAGGCATTGGATTATACCAAACCAAAGGGGAAGGGTAAGGGAACTATAAAAAAATCGCTCTGAAAACTGGGGACCAACTTTTTCCTATAGAAAAAAAATACCCCAGTAACCTGGGGCAGCAAATTTTTTTCTATAGAAAAAAATACCCCAGTAACCTGGGGCAGCAAATTTTTTTCTATAGAAAAAAATACCCCAGTAACCTGGGGCAGCAAATTTTTTTTCTATAGAAAAAAATACCCCAGTAACCTGGGGCAGCAAATTTTTTTCTATAGAAAAAAATACCCCAGTAACCTGGGGCAGCAAATTTTTTTCTATAGAAAAAAATACCCCAGTAACCTGGGGCAGCAAATTTTTTTCTATAGAAAAAAATACCCCAGTAACCTGGGGCAGCAAATTTTTTTCTATAGAAAAAAATACCCCAGTAACCTGGGGCAGCAAATTTTTTTCTATAGAAAAAAATACCCAGTAACCTGGGGCAGCAAATTTTTTTTCTATAGAAAAAAAAATCCCCAGTAACCTGGGGCAGCAAATTTTTTTTCTATAGAAAAAAAATCCCCAGTAACATGGGGTAGCAAATTTTTTTTCTATAGAAAAAAATACCCAGTATGCTGGGGACCAAATTTTTTTCTATAAAAAAAACACAAAGTATCCTGGGGACCAATTTTTTTTTTCTATAGAAAAAAAATCCTTCAGTAAGCTGGGGACCCGGAATTTTTTCTATAGAAAAAAAAATACCAGTAACCTGGGGCAGCAAATTTTTTTCTATAGAAAAAATTCCACTGGGGGATGTCCTGTAACCATGGGATCCAATTGTCTTAATGTTTTTTTTTAATTTTATTACCAGTTCCCAAACCCAAAACAGCTCCCGCCTCATATGGCCGCCAGCGACGCCCATTGCCTTCAGGCAGTCGCAAACCCCAGGCCAAACAAGTCAATCAAAGACAATTGCAGGATATTTTACAAAAAATCTCAGATCGTGCAGGATTTTTGATTGAAGAGCGTCTGCTGGAAATATTGAAACCCTATACGGATGAGGAAAAATGTTTGGTGCGAATTGAGAATATATTTGCGGTAGGTCGATAATTTCTCTATATGGACAAGTGATGTAAATAATCTCTGATATAATTTTAGGCCTTAAATATAACCGACATGGCTGTGGTCAATAGTTTAATATCATATTTCGAGCCGTATTCATGGTGTCCAAATTGTTCGGAAGGTATCAATCAGAAGTCCTTAAAGAGCTTATATTCATTTAAGGCCAAAGAGGAGGAAAATTCTCCAGAAAGTTCGGAGGTAAGATCTTCCTAATTTGTGTGTGATAAAATCTTATCTTCAATATTCCCATTAAGGCCTCCCCTGAGTCTGCCTGTTCCAATCACATTTTGGTCATGGAACCGGCCTTGGTTTTGACAGCTCTCAATGAGTTTACCAGCCAACAGATGAGAGCAAAATCCGCTAATGGCAAGGATCACAAGAGGTAGGATTTTCTCAGAGAAATATTTCAATATTGAAATTAATTTTGATTTTTTATAAAAATTCAGGGATCTATGTCTGGAAACGGAAATGGACCTGCTGGCCTTGGATGAGCAGCACATACTCAGCTATTGGCAACAATTCAGCAAGTTTATGCCTCAGGATAAACAAAATCTATGGAAAACTATCGAACATGGCCTCAATCATTATTTGGAGGTATTGAAGAAACGTTCGCAGCTGGATGGCGAATGTGTATTTTTACAAAAACAAAATTCCGAATTGAAATATCTACTGCAGAAATTGTAAAAATCAAAATTTTGAAAAAAAGACAAATAAAAAGATTGTAAAGGGTACCTATATAAAGCGTGGATTTTTATACCCTTCACCATACTGTGGTACAGGGTATTATGTCTTTGTGCATATGTTTGTAACAGGCAAAAATAATCGAGATAGCCCCATGGTTCCGTTTGAGAATATGCATAGAATCACTTTCTGAGTCGATTTATGCATGTCCGTTCGTCAGTCCGTCTGTCCATGTTAACAAAGTCAGGTCGTATTTATGATCCGAATTGGATGAAATTAGGCACAGCTCATTTGTTTGGCCCAAGGACGAACCCTATTGAAATTGGGAAAAATCTGAAATTGGGAAAAATCGGTTCAGATTTAGATATAGCTCCCATATATATTTTCGTCCGATTTAAGGTAAATGGTGTACCAAAGTCCCTATATATCTTTCAATTTGCACGAAATTTGGTACAGCGTACTGAATTAAGTCTAGACTGATGTGTGTCAAGTTCCCTGAAAATCGGCTCAGATTTGGATATAGCTCCCATATATATCTTCGTCCGATTTAAGGTAATTGGTGCACCAAAGACCCTATATATCTTTCGATTTGCATGAAATTTGGCATAGCGTTCTGAATTGCGTCTATTATAATGTGTACTAAGTTCCATGAAAATCGGTTCAGATTTAGATATAGCTCTATATCTTCATATATAGTGCTTTGAAATCTTTTGATTTGCATTTTGGCAATGGTAATTGGTGTGTGCAAAGTTTCAAAATCTCAAATTTAAATAGCTCATATATTTTTATCCGATTTGTGTACCAAAGTCCCTATATATCTTTCGATTTGCACGGAATTTGTTATAGCGTACTGAATTAAGTCTAGAACGATCTGTGTTAAGTTTCGTGAAAATCAGAATGACGTGTGCTAAATGGTGTACCAAAATTCCTATTTATATTTTTCAAATTGAGACATGCATGATGTGTGCAAAGTTTCAGATTTAGATATAGCAGATTTAAGGTAAATGGTGTACTAAAGATATAACTTTCGCTCACGAAATTTTGCATATATATGATGTGTGTCAAGTTTCGTGAAAATCGCTTCTGATTTAGATATAGCTTCCATATATATAAGGTAAATGGTGTATCAAAGTCTCTATATATCACGAAATTTGGCACAGCGTAATGAATAAGGTCTAGAATGAAGTGTGTTAAGTTTCGTGAAAATCGGTTCAGATTTAGATATAGCTCCCATATACAATTTCGTCCGATTTTATGTAAATGGTGCACCAAAGTCTCTAAATATCTTTCGATTTGCACGAAATTTGGCACAGCGTAATGAATAAGGTCTAGAATGAAGTGTGTTAAGTTTCGTGAAAATCGGTTCAGATTTAGATATAGCTCCCATATATATTCTCGTCCGATTTAAGGTAAATTGTGTATCAAAGTTCCTATATATCTTTCGATTTGCACGAAATTTGGCACAGCGTACTGAATTAGGTCTAGCATGATGTGTGCAAAGTTTCGTGGAAATCTGTTCAGATTTAGATAAAGCTCCCATATATAGTTTCGCCCGATTTAAGGTAAATGGTGTACCAAAGTCCCTATATAACTTTCGATTTGCACGAAATTTGGCATAGTATTCTGAATTGCGTCTATAGTAATGTGTACTAAGTTTCATGAAAATCGGGTGTCATATAGTCAGCCCAGTCCGACTTTACTACTTTCCTTTCTGGTTAAAAATATATTTTTAAGAGGCTCTATAAGGCGTGCATTTTAAAAATATTTTTTAAGGGGCCTATATAAGGCGTGGATTTTTAAAAATATTTTTTAAGGGGCCTATATAAGGCGTGGATTTTTAAAAATATTTTTTAAGAGGCCTATATATGGCGTGGATTTTTAAAAATATTTTTTAAGGGGCCTATATAAGGCGTGGATTTTTAAAAATATTTTTTAAGGGGCCTATATAAGGCGTGGATTTTTAAAAATATTTTTTAAGGGGCCTATATAAGGCGTGGATTTTTAAAAATATTTTTTAAGGGGCCTATATAAGGCGTGGATTTTTAAAAATATTTTTTAAGGGGCCTATATAAGGCGTAGAGTTTTAAAAATATTTTTTACGGGGGCCTATATAAGGCGTGGATTTTTAAAAATATTTTTTAAGGGGCCTATATAAGGCGTGGATTTTTAAAAATATTTTTTAAGGGGCCTATATAAGGCGTGGATTTTTAAAAATATTTTTTAAGGGGCCTATATAAGGCGTGGATTTTTAAAAATATTTTTTAAGGGGCCTATATAAGGCGTGGATTTTTAAAAATATTTTTTAAGGGGCCTATATAAGGCGTGGATTTTTAAAAATATTTTTTAAGGGGCCTATATAAGGCGTGGATTTTTAAAAATATTTTTTAAGGGGCCTATATAAGGCGTGGATTTTTAAAAATATTTTTTAAGGGGCCTATATAAGGCGTGGATTTTTAAAAATATTTTTTAAGGGGATTTTTAAAAATATTTTTTAAGGGGCAGGGGCCTATATAAGGCGTGGATTTTTAAAAATATTTTTTAAGGGGCCTATATAAGGCGTGGATTTTTAAAAATATTTTTTAAAGCCTACCCACAAGGCGTAGATTTTTAAAAATATTTTTTAAAGCCTTCCCACAAGGCATACATTTCTAAAAATATTTTTTAAAGCATGCCACAAGGCGTGGATTTTTAAAAATATTTTTTAAGGTTCCACACAAGGCTTGGTTTTTTTTTAAATATTTTTTAAGGGGCCTATATAAGGCGTGGATTTTTAAAAATATTTTTTAAGGGGCAGGGGCCTATATAAGGCGTGGATTTTTAGAAATATTTTTTAAGGGGCAGGGGCCTATATAAGGCGTGGATTTTTAGAAATATTTTTTAAGGGGCAGGGGCCTATATAAGGCGTGGATTTTTAAAAATATTTTTTAAGGGGCAGGGGCCTATATAAGGCGTGGATCTTTAAAAATATTTTTTAAGGGGCCCATATAAGGCGTGGATTTTTAAAAATATTTTTAAGGGGCCTTTCAAAACTTTTGTTTTATTTTTTCAGATAATGCCTTAGCACTCAAAACAATGTATTCCGATTTTTATGCCACCCGGCACAATTCTCTCTCTGCCATGTGCCGGGTGTAATAGCTAGTTGGGGAGACACCTTGCTATTGTGCGACGACGAAGGCCATCGGTATTCGGTATAATCTTGCATAATAATTATATTTACCTTTCGAATACCTTTCTAATATCTAATAACTGATAACTTTCGCCATATTCCGCACCACGAATGAAACCAGCGACGCTCGGCGAAAGCCATTCGCTGATTCATTTAATGGCAAAATGGAAAATTTTTCTACCATGCGGCAACACCGCCCCCTAAAGATATTCGCTTGGCCCACATTTCGAATGATAAGAAGTGCAAAAAAACTGCGTGTTACCGATTCCTCGGGGTATACCGCAGATTAGAAATATTAATGGCATTTTTTTTTGACTGCACTGTGTCTGGAAGGTGTTATGGACGTCGAGTGCCTTCGAGGGGGGTGGTCCTCAAATATGTCCGGCATGCCATGCCAATTACCACAACGTAGTTCTTTTGATTATCACTTGAAATCGATTTATAGAGAGATAGAGAGGGTCATAAATAGCTATGGCGGCATGCCATAACTATATTTGGATTATTGTATTTTTTGTTGTTGTTGTATTTTATTTTTTGAAAATCATTTTTCAAATATCGTTTTTTTTTTTTGGTTTTGGAGAGATTCCATTGAAATGATAAGACCCTTAATTTTTATATGGCTTATCACGATTTTTTTTTTAAAATGATTTCATTTAATAGGGGGCCAACAATTTTGATTAGTGACAGAGATCTAATCGTTCGTTCGGTTCGGGTTGTAAATTAACAAATGGCCCATTAGTCGAATTAATGAATGAATGAGTGACTGACCAGCCTGACGTCCACTGTAACGTTACATTAATTTGTAGTTTTAATTAACACCTATTTGTGATCCATGACGGAGATTGGTAAGAAAAGTTTTGAGTATTATGACCAGAATCAGCAGAAGTAGATTACACCAGGTAACAAAAAGTAAGACAATTTACATGGATTTTTTAAAAATATTTTTTGGGACCTATATTTTTATACCCTTCACCACACTGTGGTACAGGGTATTATGTTTTTGTGCATATGTTTGTAACAGGCAAAAATAATCGAGATAGGCCCATGGTTCCTTTTGAGAATATGCATAGAATCACTTTCTGAGTCGATTTATGCATGTCCGTCCGTCGCATACAGGTCGCATTTATGATACGATTTTTATGAAATTTGACACAGCTCATTTATTTGGCCCAAGGACGAACCCTATTGAAATTGGAAAAAATCGGTTCAGATTTAGATATAGCTACCATATATATTTTCGTCCGATTTTAGGTAAATAGTCCACTAAAGTCCCTATGTATCTTTCGATTTGCACGAAATTAGGCACAGAGTAATGCATACGGTCTAGAATGATGTGTGCAAAGTTTCGTGAAAATCGGTTCAGATTTAGATATAGCTCCGATATATATTTTCATCCGATTTAAGGTAATAGGTGCACCAAAGTCTCTGAAAATCATTCGATTTGCACGAAATTTGACATAGCGTACTGAATGAAATCTAGAATGATGTGTGCAAAGTTTCGTGAAAAATCGGTTCAGATTTAGATATAGCTCCCATATATATTTTCATCCGATTTTTGGTAATTGGTGTACCAATGTCTCTGAAAATCATTCGATTTGCACGAATTTTGGTATAGCGTACTGAATTAAGTCTAGAATGATGTGTGTTAAATTTCGTGGAAATCGGTTCAGATTTAGATATAGCTCCCATATATATTTTCATCCGATTTAAGGTAAATGGTGTACCAAAGTCCCTATATATCTTTCGATTTGCTCGAAATTTGGCACAGCGTAATGAATTGAGTCTAGAATGATGTGTGCAAAGTTTCGTGAAAATCGGTTCAGATTTCGATATGGCTCC